AAGAGCAACAAAAGTAGCTTTTTTTTTTTTTTAACTCTTTTGCAAGCATATTATGAAATAGTGTATTTCAAATAACTGAGCATAAAGCTTTTTTCTCTGTCAGTCAACAACAAACAATCAGGTCATTAAGAGACCCAAAATTAGAAACAGATTAAAAGAAACCTTTGGTTTTGACAGAAACTAACACTTACAACTTCTTAATTCATATTAATGTTAAACCTATTTTGATTTAAAAGAAACTTGTAAGGCCATTGTTTCAACTTTCCACAAAGTAGCAAAAACTCCACAAGTAGATGTTTGTTTTCAGACCACAGAATTAATCTTGGTACACTTGCTACTTGTGGCAAAAAGTAAAACCTTCGTTTCTTTTTATAAGTCATGGAAATTGTGTTCTAGCTTTTTTTTTTTAAGGCTTGTGAAAAGGAAATGCTGCATGAATTACAGTGTCTGAGATCCACTGTTTGACATCCTTGACTGAAAAATTACATAGTATACAGGGTACTCTCTGAGTAATAATTTACTTCAAATGAGATGTTGGCTCAAAAGTACTTTTGGGGTATTGGAGCTCTAGATTTTGCTTTTAGAACTACAGGCAAGTTTTCTGTTCGCTGGGTGATACTGACAGTGTCTTTAGACCGACCATGGAAATTTCAGACAGTTTTTAAGATAGCACCTGAAGCAACCAGCAGGAGAGAAGGAGAGGTCAAAGCTGTGCACTAGAATTTGTTTCTGATATTCTTGGAGTTCTTTGGGGCAACCCCCGGCATCAGTACAGGCTGGGGGATGAAGGGATTGAGAGCAGCCCTGCAGAGAAGGACGTGGGGGTGCTGGTGGATGAAAAGCTGGACATGAGCCAGCAATGTGTGCTCACAGCCCAGAAGGCCAACTGTACTCTGGGCTGCATCAGGAGAAGCGTGGCCAGCAGGTCGAGGGAGGTGATTCTGCCCCTCTGCTCTCCTCTGGTGAGACCCCACCTGAGTACTGCATCCAGGTCTGGAGCCCTCAGCACAAGAAGGACATGGAAGTGTTGGAGCAGGTCCAGAGGAGGGCTACAAAAATGACCCTAGGGCTGGAGCACCTCTCCTATGAGGCCAGGCTGAGAGAGTTGGGGTCATTTAGCCTAGAGAAGAGAAGGCCACAAACAGACCCTATTGTGGCCTTTCGATACTTGAAGGGGGCTTGTAAGATAGATGGGACAGACTTTTTAGCAGGGCCAGCTGTGACAGGACAAGGGGTAATGGTTTTAAACTAAAACGGTAGATTTAGGCTAAGATAAAGGGAAGAAATTTTTTACTCTGAGGGTGGTGAAACATTAGACAACACAGATTTGCCCAGAGGTGGTAGGTGCCACATCCTTGGAAACATTCAAGGTCAGGTTGGATGGGGCTCTGAGGAACCTGATCTAGTTCAAGATGTCCCTGCGGAGGGGAATTTGGGCTAGATGACCTTTAAAGGTCCCTTCCAACCCAAAACATTCTATGATTCTATGACTTCAACTTTGGTCTCCCATTTTCTGCAATATATACGTCTCTTTTTTTCACAAATTCTATTAAAAAAACAACACCCCTAAACCCCACATTTCTGTTTCCAGGCCCCTCCCCATCAATATTTAAAAGGGAATCCTAGGACAGAGCCTGGCACACAGCAGGCTACATGAACTACTCTAACTATCTAGGATTTGGCAATGAGCTACAATTCAAAACTCTTAAGTCCGGAAAAGGAGTGCTCAACTGTATTTTTGAACCTGGGTCTTACAAAGTCTTACCTTCTCTCTTCACAGTCTAAAAGTGCCTAATAACGATATCCTTAACTACAAAGCATTTAAGATAAAGGTGCTAGGCAAAAATGTACACAGCAGCTGTCTTAAGAGCAAAACCTACAACTCATTTCAGTGGCTGAACACAAAGCAAATGATTTAGATGTCACTTTCAATTGCACATATGAACATTTAATTTCAAGCACACCACCTATCAGTGGCTGGAGGCATTCTCACAATTACATCAAATACCTAATTCCAGAACAAAAGTAGTCAATCATCCAAAACAAACATATAGTTTGATTTTATATCCCCTCATAATCTTCAATTGAACTCATATACCATGCAGAAACTGTCAACTCAGTCCATACCATTGGTTATTCCTGACAAGCTATGTTTCTAATACAGCATTTTCCTGTTAGTTTTAGAAGTGGAATCTTTAATTCCAAGACTTACTCAGCCTGTTTAAAGACACTTACAGAAACTATTTAACTCTTAATAGGTTAAATCCTCTCCTCCACAAGTCAAAAGGGAATATTCTGCAGATGACAATACAAATATTTACAAGAGAAAAATGGAACAATGGCAAACTAATATTGCATGGATTACTTATAATATGCAAGATTCTAAAGCAGTTTTGTCAAAATCGGTGTGTTCATCCTAAATGAGAACTGCCCTTGCTAATTCCTTTATCTCCAAACTGGAACTGTCTGCCATCATGTGACATCACAGTTTCTTGACTCCCTGTCTAATCCCAGTCCACAAGCAGAAAAGCATGGCTCCATAAGAAATGGGACATAGTGCTGGATTACTCTCAAGTTTCCCAAGTGGTGGTACCATGCTCAAAATATTGTTTTCTTCAACTGCAAAAGAGACCCCTTACATTGTAAATGGAGCTGTACGATGCATATCTGCTATTGAGTTCTGCTGAAAGATGCGAAGATTAAAAACTTCCCCCCCGACCCCTAAGTGATGCCTTTAAAAAAAAAAAAAAAAAAAAAAAGAAGGGCTACTTTAGCAAAACACATGTTCCTCTTCACAACTCTGCCTAAACCCTCTTAAGATGTCATCTTCTGAGAATATTTTGTGTTAGCTCTGCAGGGTGCTTTATTCAAACCTAGGAAGTAGTGAAGAATACAAAGCATTCTGTCTAGACAGCCCACTGCTGAGTCACTCAAAATTAATTTGGATAGCAGGTGGCATCTACCTGCAAGAATCTGGACATTGAAAATATCTGAGAAAGACAAGGTCTACTGCAAGACCATTAAGAGGAATGTGAGGTGATGCAAGAGATTAGTATCATGGGACAGATACAAGATGGTATTAGATAAACTTCACAGACGAAAAATTAGAACTGCCCGCATACGAAACGTTTCCAGTGAAAACTTAAGCTCATTTCTACTTCTCACTGCTTGCTGGATTTCCACAATAGTGAAACAGGAAAAACCTGATCTGTGAACAAACTTTCTGGCCTCAGTTTGGTTTTGCTGATACAAGGCTGAAGCTCTAGGTGCTAGCTGCTTAATCATAGAAGTTTAATAAAACTGTAAAAAAATTACAAAAGCTCTCATCATGTGGATTGCAGTAAAGAATTAGTTTAGGTGTCTCTGCAAATTTGTTGGCAACAGCAGACATGTCTAGAATTTAACTATTATTCCCATAGGATAGTATGGGAAAGTTTTGGGCAACTTCCCCAAAACCAGAAACAAACCTATTGCACTATGATAGTACAACAAAACCTCTGGAGCTGGAAAATATTATTCTGAAAGATGCATTCATACTGCTACACAAACACTTTAATGTTACCACTTCTGAAGCAACTGCACTGCTAGAGGATATGAGTGATTTATACTGTTAATATCTACTTCATTTTCTGTAGGAGAAACTGTCCTTAGAATAACAGTACTTTGAAATATAAAACCTTCAGCCTTCCAAATCTGATGGCTACTGTCTCTACTGAATACATAAAGGAGGTACACTTAAATTCTTCCAAGTTGTTACATCTTATTAATTAAGCCAATTCAGGTAGTTTGCCTAAATACAACTTGTTCAAAATTTTACCAAGTCAAACAATGGGGGTGCCATCACAACAAACATTTTTAATTCAGTCACCTAACAAACATTTTTAATTCAGTCATCTAACAAACATTTTTAATTCAGTCACCTAACAAGACAGCTGGCAAAAATCCTGGTAAAACAGACCTCATCTAGACTTTGTGAATATGAACATAAAGAAAACGTCTAACCTATGAATTGTAATCACACTGCAAACACCTATAGTGCTATACCTTAAATTTAAGATAAACAAAATAACAACAGTGCTAAGCTTCTTATATCTTCTTATCTTGTGACTGCTTGGCTGCCTAAGAAAAAGTTCTAAATGAATTTTTCCTGCAGTTGGCATCCTTAGAAACCCATTACCAGGCACAGCCTCCTGTTCACACTGCAGCCTTTTGAGACCTCTCTACCTTCAGGTTTTTGAAATCAGTCAACCATCAAAGCTTACTGGATAAGACTAACAGCCAGGCAGCATAACTGCTTAAACCTCATTTCTTTAGAAAATGTAAAGAAAGCAAATATAGTATTCTGCCACTCCGATAGCGAGACGAATAGGATGTGGATTATAAACGAAGAACTTTGATTCTCAAACTGCTGCAGTTATCTCCTCCAGAAATTATGTTCTTACTATTCCTTCTCTTCCACAAAACAGGTGGAATGGCCTCTCACAGTCCCAAGCATGAATTTAAACAGCTATCATTTCTCAATTATGTTAAGCATGTGTGTAATTCCTTTCAGGGCTAGAGAAAAATACTGCAGCTGGCCAGACAATTAGCATGACACCGTCAACAGTTTTTGTTTAACACATTATTGCATATTAGTTATTTCACTTTCGAGACAGCAAAGTTTGAACAGTATGTTTTGCCTGTGGCTCAAAAATCATTTGGAAAATAAACACACAATTTATATTCTCAATAAAGGACAAGGAAACAGAGGGGGAGGTGTTTCCCCCTTCCATCCAATGACATATATTAGATGGATTCACTGTGATATAAATCAAACCCTTGCTTGATAATAAACTGACCTTGTGCATGCACTTCTGTCAATAGCTTAGGAGATATATAACTAGAGATGATACAAAAAGTTACTATACATAGATTTTCATTTTTGTGTCTCTCCAAAGCAAAATTTTCTTTCCTTCTTCTCTTTACTACAGATAGTAATTTTAATCCAACTTCAGACTTACATGTATTGAAGAAACTGCTCTGTCTGCATTGCTCGACTGTCACATTCCAGGGGGCAGAGATGGAACACCGTGTCTGGAAAGCACATGCCAGGCTAGAATACGAACAGCAACTCCCTTTCACTGGCACAGAAGCAAACCCTGAGAATGAAGATAGAAAGGTGTTTATATACAGCACATTTTCTTCTCTAAAACAGCATTTCCCACAAATACACACACCAGAAGAAAAACCAGTAATATTTACTCATACAGCTTAGTTTCCAAAGGGAATCAGACTTGAACTTTCTGTCCTGAGGCGCAAAGCAAGTTGCAGAAGGGGAGGGGAGGGGGGGGACAGAATATTGCCATAGAAAAAGCCACAAAGAGAAAGCAGCTAGAAGGCTTCTCTAACAGATTGCTAATAGAGTGAGAATGCACCCTCAGAAAGTAGAAATATTGTTCTAGCAGCAAAACGTGCAATAATGTTCCTAGACACAATCAAAAGTGGTAAGTAAATACATCATTAAATACTATGTGCTATGAAAACCAAACATCAGTCCGATAATCATGTTCAGTATCTTCATTAATGATGTGGACGGTGGGGCAGAGTTTACTGATGATACAAAACCAGGAGGAGTGGCTGATACACCAGAGGGTCGTGCTGCCGTCCAGAGGGACCTTGACGGGATGGAGAAATAAACTGACAGAAACCTCATGAAGTTCAACAAGGGCAAGTGCAAAGTCCTGCACCCTGGGAGGACCTGCATGCACCAATACCTCCCAGGGGGGCTGAATGGCTGGAAAGCGGCTTGGCAGAAAAGGGCCTGGGGGATCCTGGTCGCCACCAAGCTGACCATGAGCCAGCAATGTGCCCTTGTAGCAAAAAAGGCCAACAGCATCCTGGGCTGCGTTAGGACTGTTGCCAATGGGATGAGGGAGGTGATCTTTCCCCTCTGTACTCAGCATTGGCAAGACACACATGGAGCCCTGTGTCCAGTTCTGGGCTCCCCAATACAAGAGAAATATGGACATATTGATACAAACTGCTTTTTACAAAACCCTCCAGCTACCTTGGAAAAATTTGGATGCAAAGAACTTAGTTTGTCAAGCTAAACCCCATGCATTTAAAATCACAGCACATGGAAAGGGGTCACTATCTACCTAGGCTAAGCATGGAACACAAAGGTAATCGAATCAGAAAGAGTTAAAGGGTCACATCTGAAATTATTTATGAGCAGTTGCAGTCTTTTACTTTTCCTGGCCTACTTGCAGGAAATTTTTTATTTTTTTTTTTAGGATACACTCTGTGACTAGACAGTGGAAAATGTTTCCCTCCACCAAGGAAACACCACTGGCCTGCTTTCAAATCTCCCTGAACGCTCAGGCTTTAATTGCAGTTTGACTACAGAATGGGCATCACTTTGTTATAGATTGCCCTGAGGAAGAGACGAGACCAGAAATTCATTAACTGCTTAGATTTTTTTTATTTTTTTTTTTTAAGGAGTGGAGGCAAGAAAGTTTTTAGAGGACTGCAGAAGCTAAAAAATGCTAGAGAACTTTATTTTGCCTTTGATGGTGGGGGAGAAAGAAGGGACATTCTTTTCTTTACTGAAACCAAAAAACATGCCCAGCTTCCAGGTGTTTTAATACCAAACTTGAATATACTTTTACCAATGTAATCTGGCCTTTCTTCCCACCTCAGGCACCAGCTTTCCCTGGAGAACACACAGGCATTAATGTAGTTCATTATGACTTTTGTCTAGAACTTGAGTGCATACAAGCTACCTAGGCTGTATAAAGGATTCTGAGACAGGTTCACCAAGATTTAACAGCAGGGTGCATAGCTGATGGCATACAACTCTAGCAATGGAAGTCACTTTGGAGGGAAAGTGAAAACAAAAGGAGACAGAAAGACATAACGTGTCCCAAGGCAGTCTTCAGTGCTGCAGATGATTTCCCCCTGTAAGAATTTCCCACAGTACACATATACTTTTCACCAAGACCCTTTTAGACTCCCCACTGGATACACATAGGCTGGCAGGCATCCCCTAATGAATCCAAAACCTACAACCCAGAGGAAGGCAAAGGGAAGAAGAGAAGTTTTTCCTGTTCCTGCCAGCTGCTACCCAGGAGAACCGACCAAACAGTATTGGGATTCACAGCTGCAAGGCCATAAGGACAACAGCATGAGAACAAGGGGAAAACACTGCCCCAAAGGCTGTAACAGTGCCAGGGCAGCTTAGGTGAAAGTGGAGAGAGCCATCAAAAGGGAGGCAGCAAAGCTGCAAATGGAGGGAACTTAGCAATACAAGAGGCTAAGGTACCCCTCGCACTGCAGCAACTACACCTATACTGCCTTAAGTTTGTGTCAAAACCTCAGTAGTATTCACTGCTTAAAAACACTGTATAATGAAAAGATTTTCATTTTCTCTTGAGAGAATGATGCAGGTAAAAAAAAAACCAAAACTATGTAAAAATTAACTATATATTCAGCAATGCCACCCAGCAGAAGTTTTCAGTTGTACAGTATTATTTCTCATACATCGAAGGGCAATTTTTGAAAGATTGATCCAAAGTCAACTCTGATCCTTAGTGGAAAAAAATACATGTTGTCCCTTCCTCCTAAGTACACTTTAACCTCTACTGGGAAAAATAATGCATTTGAGTTTTGAAAGGTGCCTGTAGAGGATTAAAATCCAGAAAGAAATGGCTACTGAAGAATTAGGTAAGTCTAGAAAACAAACTTAGATTCCTATCATTTAAAAATGACCAGGAAGATGTAAGAAGAGAAAGGTAGAAAGAACAGGAAGATTTGATAACAATATTTGACTTTGACAACAATATTTGAACTAAAAAGCAAACCACCTCACTCCGTTATCTTAAGGCATATATTACTACCCAAGTTATTCTGATGGGATAATAGATGACTGATACAGGTTTCCAAAGGCACAGCTGGCCTGCTCTGAACCCTGTAATGATGAGCGAGATCTGCATGCCTAAAGCCCATCTGTCATTTGAAGTACACGTTTACCACATGTGAAGAAATAAATATGGAAACTGCCAAGTACTGACAACAGCAACCTTGTCCATTGACGACAATGCAAGCGTAAAGCTCGTTATTTAATAATTTACCACACTTCCTGTCCTGGAGAAGAACAACACATGCAAGAGCAACTTAGGTTCACGCTACGCAGCAAAAACATGCTTTAAAAAACCAGTAACATTTGTTTAGAAAGCCCCACTAGCATTGTTTAGATAGAAAACAGAATTCCTATCTGGCTCTTGTAGAATCATAGAATGTTTTGGGTTGGAAGAGACCCCTAAAGGTCATCTAGTCCAACCCCCCTGCAGTGAGCAGGGACACCGCTAACCAGATCAGGTTGCTCAGAGCCCCGTCCAACCTGGTCTTGAATGCTTCCAGGGATGGGGCCTCCACCACCTC